AATTCTCACAGACGTAGTCTCGCGAGCTTTGGGTGTTGTGAAACAGCACTCCGAACATAATCTCGCGAGACTTTAGGTTCACGTGTCCAAAACAAAGCAGAGAGGAATTGTTGATCACTATTGCGGAAAAAAATGGACAAAAAACGAGCTTTGTCGAGACTTGTCACAATGTGTCTGTATGTTATTTTTTATTACATTTTAGACCAAACTAGTGTGTTATACACTTTGTGTTTATTTATTTATTTATTTATTTGCAGTTTGGATGTCCCTTTCATTTTCTCTACCTAAAGTGGCTGTGTGTGTGTCTTGTCTGATACATGGTGAACCAGGTGGAACTCTCTGAATGGCCCTTTGGAGCCGGCAGTCTGGACCAGTGAGGGACTGAGCCCTTCAACACCTGCAGAAGACACAACATCCTGCATGCTGCACAGACAGCCAGTTGCCYAGTTTTGATATTCAGGTTTTATTGATGTTTGAAACTGTTGTTGGAGCTTTGTGAATCTGCACCTTTGTAAGACACTTTTTGTAAATAGTGGGTGTAAACAAGGGAGTTTTATATTGTGTGCTTTGATTTTGAAAAACGGGTGGCACTGTTGTGGTAGCCATGTTGACCCTGATTGTTTTTTATGTTTTTTTTCCCCCTGTATGGGGAGAAGAGAGAAGAGATCTATAATTAAACGGARACGAGTTCCCGTGCTCCAAAGTTATTTGACTCTGTGGTTGTCTCACTGGGCAAGTTTCCAGCCCTCGTAGCTCGCACATCACAGTGAGTACTCTGAACATAATCTCGCGAGACTTTAGGTTCACGTGTCTAAAACAAAGCAGAGAGGACACTGAAGAAGGTAAAAAAAAAATAATTTTTGTTTGACCACCAATTTTCTGTTTCTCTGTCAGGGAGTTAGGATTTTATCTTTTTTCTTTTTTTGTAGGTAAGTTGATGGTTAAGTAGATAATTTTGTTTTAAATACTTTGAATTAAACAAAACTTAAGCAACACATTCTGTTCTGTTTTATTTACTTTAAAGAAATGAGGAGTAGGGAGATGAACATAATGTTTTAGTGATACTGATACTGGACAAGTAGATCTTGGTAAACTGCTGACTTCAAAAGTAGCTCTTGGTTCAAAAAAGGTAGGGCACCCCTGTTAGAGTTTAACTTGTGTGAAAGAAAAAAACAAAACAAAAAAAGTTAGTCACTACAAATAATTAATGTGAAGTTAAACTAATCTGTGTGACGTAACCCGACCAGTGAACAAATCAAACGAACAGTAACTGATGACAGATCAGCCCAGCACAGATTGAACCACAGGGAATATAAACAAACACAGTTCCAGTACTCATTTGTATGTTCACCCCTCTCAGGTCRTGTTTRTAGTTTGTTTTTGAGTAAATATTTAWATTAAAATGTCTTAAACTGCGTTAAAATGTTAGTTTTACATTTCTCTGTAATGGTGGATCAAGTGGATCAAGTACTTTTTTTTCAAACTAGCAACCTAATAGATTCCTGTTTTGTTAAAAATATGTCCAAGGTTAATAATGTGAGAGAAATCCACAATTTTCTGTTTATTCAGTCAGTGTTTAATACAGCTGGCACAATATATTTAATAAAGTATAATACTACAATTTTTTTTAATTTAGTGTGTGAAAAAATAACCATGTCATAGAAAGACCCATGATTCAAGAGAAATGTCAGCTTTTTAGGAAAATGGCCACTAATCAATCGTTAGTCGGTCGATAAGATCAATCAACTTTAAATTAATCCATTAATCGATAACTTGCATCCCTAATCAGGTTTACAACAAAAGGTTTCACATTCAACTGTTACTGATGACAGACCACAGACAAGCTCAGCCCTCAGTGAAAACACTTATCTAATGAGGGGTCTGCTACATCTCCTTTTAAAAAGAGCAACAGTATTTGTACCACCGCTCCTAAAAAGTAATACTTATYTACAGCCACAAAGGTCCATCTTTATAAATAACTGAAAATTACACTGTTATCTAGAATTATGCAATTATACCCCCATATTCCTGAAAATCTGAATGAGTAGCACACTAGGAGAACTAAGTAAGCTTAAAGTTATAAAAACAACAATGTGCATAAATTTGAAGAAGTCTGATGTAACTGATTTTTTATTTTCACCATGGACTTCATGTGCTCAAAGAGTTGAGGGTTCTGGGCTTTTACTAGAAGCAGRTCTTATTTTTCACAGTTCGAAGAGTTTGCTGTATGTTTTAATAGAAACATGAAGCAGGTAAGAAATACGAGGTGAGAACAAAAAATATCAAATCTTGTTTGTTAACATGGAGGCGGTGGGGCTTAAGTGTGGTATGGGGGAAATCTTGTGGTATTTCAAATCACCTTAATGTAGTACATAATCTTCACCTTTGGGTTAAAATGCAAAAGAAAACAAATATTTCAAAAGAAAAATTGTCTTAACTTTTTGATAGCAAACCAAGCTTTTTCAGGCAGCTATGAATTTTGGTACTAAATAAGGACGGAGATCATTTGTGTTAAAAAGAAACTGGAGTGAAAGATCTGTGTTTGTATGCCCCTAAAACTGTCTGCAAAGAAACAAGATGACAAGACAGGCTGCATGAGAGAATTATACTGTAACCTTAAATAACCATGTCACTTTTTTTTTTTTTTAAATCAAGACCTCAGGAAAGCGTGTCTCCTTTAAGGGCATGTTACTTCAACTCATCAGTGCCAATAAATTTAATTGTAGCCAAGGAGAAATTCCTTTCTGCTCCTTTATTTAAACCCAGCGACATGCATCTGTATGGGATAAATCTTGTGCCAGCAGGAAGTGAATTTGAATTGCTCAGATTGAATCTGAATGTGTATAATTTGAAATTGAATGCATTGGTTTGAAAATGAATTTTACTAAATTGAAACTGAACTTAAAGTTTTATATCTGAATTAATTTGCTTTGAAACTGTATTTTGGTTTATTAAAAATTCAGTTTGACTACTTTCATTTTCAGTTCCATAATTCAAATTTTTGTGTCACACATCCTGGTCCTTGAGAAAGYCAGCCAGAGTAATCAAACACAGATCCACAGATTGATGTTTCACGTCAGTGAAGCTTCCTTCTATAATGTAACAGAGTTGATGCAATCCACCGTAAAAGTGACAAAAATAGACTGTTATTTTATTGCAGTGATTAAATTTACCTATATGTAGAAAATGTTACATTTACATCACATCATGGATCACATATTGATCAGATACTCCTGCTGACTGATCCATGAAGGGATGTAACTGTAACATTTTCTAAAGGTAAAATTAATCACTGTAATAACTGTCTGTTTTTGTCACTTTTACAGTGGATTGCATCAATTCTGTTACATTACAGAAGGGAAACTTCACCAAAGTGAAACGTAAATCTGTCAATCTGTGTTTGATTACTCTGGCTGGCTTTCTCAGCTTTTTCTGTTATTGCGACGTCAGAATAACGTGCTTTGAGAAAGACCATGCTTCCAGATACCTAAAAATACATGTAATTACAGCTAAAAAACAGCTGGGTGCATTTGTTTGGTGTTTGAACTGCTTCTCTAAGCAGTAGAGACCCAAAAGTAAGTTTAAAAACATGAAAAAAAGTGAGTTTTGCATAATAGGTGCCCTGTAAATCACATTTAGACATTGATGGAACACACATCAAAGGCAGTGAGGGTTCAGTGTCTTGCTCGGGGACACTTCGATATGACGGAATAGCAGGRAATTAAACTGCCAACTCTTGGGTTGGAAAACGACTCCCTTAACGACTCAGCCACAGCTGCCCCAATTCACTCTTTGGTATCAACCAAATAGTGACTGTAATGATTAGAATGCATGATCAGGTATTCTTTCCATGAGAAACAACTTCAGATTTAAATATTGTAAAGATAAAACTATAGATAAGAGTGGAGTTCTGCTTACAAACTTTTGTCACAACGGCTTTCTGTCCTAACAGGAAATAGAGTCCAAGTCCAGGTTTTCAGTATTTAAACCTTTTTATAAATAGAAACTTTCTGGTTAGCATTACAGCCACGTTTCGGTCAGATTGCTTTTTAAACAAAGTCGACACATCTGCATTATTAAGCTGCCCTGCTGTGTTTATCGGTTGTCCAAAATGTTCACACAGAAGTGCTGCAGAGAAGAGCTCGGAAATAAAGTTTCATTTATTCTTCACACTCTCCGGTGAGAATGCTGCAGACATCTGGAATAACAAACTATAAAAACAAATGTGCGTGTGTATACCTCGTGTTTATTACTGTTTTAATCATATAATATTTATTTTGTTTGTCAAGAAAAGAATAATGGTTTTTCTTGGTTGTCCACTGGACACATGCCGCGAGGATCTGCAGCCTCAATTCAGAGGGCAGGTGAACACTCCGGGAATGCTGTTAGTGTTTCCTGGACTATTTTTCAGAGTGGATTATGTATTTTATATTTTTGAAAGCACCTCACTGCAAGACTGTGTGTTCACACGTACAACAAAATCCTAAGAGATCACTTTACTGTTGTTTTTGAAGCAGAGGCCCAGAAAATGTTGGACCTCATCTCCACCTGCAGCGTGGCTCCGGCCTGCCCGGGACTTCAGAGTCTAAACTCTTTTTTTATTATTTCAACATTAATGTGTTTGGAGTGTTGTTATCTTACAGACATGTGCAACTTGTGCATGAAAAAAAATCATATTACTCTGCTGTTTCCTACCAATACACCATAATCTTTGTAGGATGGAAGGTTGATGTACAAACTGTCAGCTTGGATTATCAATTCAAGTCACTATAATCCATATCAGCATAATCATTCATCTCTTTGCCATTTAGATTGCACAATCTGCCGATGATGAATGTATGATGTATGGTATGTGACATTTTTAATATGTTCCAGTTCATTTGATCAAACTTGATTCAGCTTTTTGAGTCATTAACCTGTCTGACCTCACACTCAACCTCTGTGGTGACACCCAGCAGTCGATCCAGATCACAACATTACGGTCTTTTCTGTTAATTTACCAAGCTGCTCCTGCGTCGATCCTTCTTCCAGGAAAGTGATTCTCTCAAGGACGGCCCAGAACAGCACCCCCAGAGAGAAGATGTCGGCCTGGGCAGTGTAACTCAGGCCACCCCAAACCTCTGGAGCCATGTAGAAATCAGAGCCGCAGGTGGAGGAGAAGCGCTGCCTGGTCAGATCCCCGTTCACCGCTGCTTCACTCATCTTACTCAGACCAAAATCTGCCACCTTAAAACACAAACACAGAGAGTTAATGAAACAAAATCAGGTATGTATTCTGTAAGCATGTACTGAAAGAAATGAGCTTCACATAAACCCAACTATACCACTCTAGATATTTTGAAAAGTTCTTAGTTTGTTCATTTGGAATTGAGGTGCAGCACTCTGAGTAACAATGACACCTTATTGTGCACATGCCAATTATCACTTTATGCTCTAAAAAACATTAGATTTCCAAGGAACTTTAGCCAGTAGTGGCAGTAGTACTAATAATACTACATTATATATTTATTTACTTATTTATCTCTTAACATTGTTGTATACCCATATACTAGTGCTGGGCATGGATACAAATTATAATCACGATTAAGATATTTTTGCTATTTATCGCAAAAAGTTTTATTTGTTTATTTTTTTTTTTAGAAACGATCTGTCTACTATAGCTGTATGTGTAAGTTTGTATGTTGCAATACACTCCATATGTGACACACTTTTTTTTTTTATATTCCTGACTTATTTTATTTACCGTATATATTCATTCCAGGGTTCAACAAGATTTTTTATTTTTTTACCTGCCCGACATGAAAGGTTACCTGCCCAAAACAAAAATGTTCAAAATTTGATGAAATATATGAAAAACTTTTACTGTATTTGTACTACAAAACTATTAACGTGGTTATACAGAGGTACATAATAAATGACATCTGATTTAGCAGATGCATACTGAGTCACTAACAGTCAGTCAATTGTTTTATCAAAAACATCTTCAAAAACTTTTTAGAACTTTCCAGTGTTTAACCTAGAGCAGTGGTTCCCAAACTTTTTATCTTCTGACCCACAAAATATCCATGGCAAAAACTTGTGACCCCAAATATTACTGGTCTGAGTACACAAACTTTGTTAATAACCCAAAAAAACATAGGCTTTTTGACAATCTAAACAGCTTGTACAGAAATATAAATACTTATTTATACTTATTTAATAGCTATAGGGAAAATATTACATCAGAAATTATTTTATTACCCTTTAAATTGATTTCTGGAGATTAGATGCTATTGTGATGCTGTAATTCTGAGTGTTTATGTGCTGCAGAACAGGAACCTGCTGTAAAACAGCAATTATGCTGAGTCAGGCTTGATTTTTAATAATCTTTTCCTGTTAAATAAATAAATCAAATCAATTATCTAAGGTGCTTCATGATCCATAATTGGGTCCCAAGCCCAATTTTGGGAACCAAAGTGCAGTGGTTCCCAAACTTTTCAGCTTTTGACCCACAAAATAACAGTAGCAGAGACCTGTGGCCCCAACTATTTTTGGCTGATAAACATTTGTAACAGGTCAACAAAACATGGGCATAGTAACAATATTTTTATACTACATTTATCCATTTTAAATACACTAACCTCACTCCTTTGTAACAACTAAGGCAAAAATGTAATTAATTCAGAAAATCTTTTCAGGACCCCACCTTGATGTTTCGGGACCCCACTTTGGGTCCCGACCCCAACTTTGGGAAACAACTGCCCTTGAATACTGGTCTTGGGAGAGCTGCTTATAAAAACAGAATGATCAAAGCAGCAGCTGTGCTTTAAATACAAGTTACAGAACATGAAAAAGTCTGCAATTTGCATTAACTGAATCTTATATAGTGAATCTCATATCTAAAGGTACATTTAAGATATCTTGAACTGGAGTCTCCATACAACTTAATGATAAATTTGACATTTATTCTAGTCAGAATATAATTAGAGATATCTTAAATAGGTATTTTGAATTGTCAAAATATATTAAGAGATGTCTATTTGTTTGTCTCTTTCATTTAAAAAAACAAAACAATCAATCAATGTACACCATTAAAAAAGTAAATCCTACCCTGAATTAAAAGGGTGCAGAGTGAAGGAAAAACTCTTATCATATGTACCCCTTATTCTCAAAAATCAACTTCAAACAAACAAACAAGCTCAAGCTGGAAAGATCTCCAAATTTAAAAAATAAGTAAATAAAACAAAACAAAATAATAAAAGAAAACATTTTATTATTTTATCCTAAATAACTAATATGTCTAATTTAGTCATAAAACAATTTCAGATAACTGGAATGTGGAGTGGTGAAACCAAATAAATGCAATATTGGCCTGCCATACATGAGCCTTTTGAACAGAGCCCCTGCTGCTCTGTGCACTCAGAGAAGAAGCCGACATTAACAAGATGGATTTATGACTGAACGAACGTCCCCATCTTTTTATCATCTCTGTGGATAACAATACATAAAAACAAAATTTTTTCTCCGACAACTTGGGTGTGAAAAAACTACGGTTGTTAAAGCTTCACTCTGCGCGACGTGCAGCGGGAAGAAGGGAGGAACTGATCCCCCAACATGACGGCAAGATGTAACTTTTCTACAGGGGAGGGGGAAACGCTGAGGATTTATTCTTTCTATACGTGTTTTAAAACAAAATATTTCCTCATTCATTTTTCAGAATTTTTTTTTCCTATGAAAAAAATAAAAGAAATTGTTTACCTGTCCGAATATGAGTTTTACCTGGCCCGGGCAGTCGAGCAATGGGATTTGTCGAACCCTGATTCATTCATTCATTCATTTTTGCTGACAAATGTGACAATATTTGTCTTAATTTCTCATTTAGAAATAAAAAAAAAAACTCCTTCAATTTTTGATTTAACCTCATTATTCTGCACAAAAGTTTACCGACTCAAAGATGTTTAGAGTATTTTTTAGGTATGGTATACATGTTAAAAAAATTTATTGTGTTAAGCGTTAGCTGCATTAACGCGATAACGTAACCAGCACTAATTATTACACACCATGCCGAAACACACCATAGCATTCTGTATTGTGCATTTTTTACCTGATTCTTACTTGTACAGAAAGGTCCAGCAGATATTTATTTAAAAAGGTATCATATCATGCTTTTAAATCCTTCTTTTTCACGTCTAAATCATTCACTTGTTGTCTATTTAAAATAAAACTGCAACGCTTTGGTCTTAATTCCTCGTTTTTGTTGCTCCACAGACTCCTTGCTTTCCTTGCTTTTACCCCTGTTCTGAGTTGCCCCTCAGAGCAAGCATAAACATAAACACATATGCTTATTTATATACATATATACACCGTAAAGTACAGTAC